TCTAGAGGTTCCACTGGGTTAGTCATGTTGTAAGAATGAATAGGAATGCTTCACTGAAATATGTGTTTGAAGTGGTAGTTGGAGGAAGAAGAGCGAGCGAGCATTAACTGTATTTAATGTATAAGATTTGAGAAGGTGGGCACGCAGCGGTGTCGTATGGAGAAAACTGCTGGGTTAGTCCGAAACTCGGTCTCGAGTAGATATGGCCAAATTGTTAAGTAGGTAGCTCTAGTGTGTAATATACACACTAGAGCTACTAGAGCTACTAGAGCACTAGAGCTATTTAATACATTTTATTAAAATATAAATATTTAATTGTTTCTATTTCGACATTTATTGACTGATGTAGTCAATCATTTAATGTAAATATAAATAATATTATTAATTGTATCGCATCAACTGTAGATATTAGTAATTTAATTCGTTAAGAAAGGAAACTCTGCTTGAATATTTAATTTAAGTATTTAATATTAAATCATTTTAATATTAAATTGCTTAAAGTCATTGGTCATTTAAGAATTTAAATTGAAATTAATTTAAATATTTAATATTTTGAATGACTTTAAGTGCCTTCAAGCGATAAAAAAAAGCTACGATTTTTCGCCTACATTTGCGATTGCCGAACTCACGTTTGTTTTCCTTTGGGGGAGCTTGTATTTCAATCTTTAACGTGTCAATGAGTGCATGCAAATATCCTTAGCACATATTCCGTCTACAAGGATGTCTGTCAACAGATTTCGCAAAAATAAAACCGAGAACGTGAACATATTTGAGTCCTGTTTTTTTGTTCCCTGCAATATTTTTTAAATTTCGCTGTACTTGCACGTTTCGACTTACAAAAATGAAGTAAAAAGTGCTCCTAAGAGAAGAAATATAATAAAAAAATAAAGAACTTTAAATGATGATAATTTCTACTCAAAATGACGCATAGACGCATAAATTAAGCAGGAAATATATTCTCATTCCACATAATGTATGTGGGGAATTTTTGATGACATCCGCATTAATAAAGCAAAAAAAAAGAAAAAAAAATTGGCAAAATAAAATAAAAATAAGAAATACGAATGAATGTGTAAATTTGTTTCAATCAAAAGTGCCAGAGACGCAAGTTTGAAACGTGTTACATATATAATGTAGAAGCCTACTTTTAGGCGCACGTACTGCAATTAAAATTTATATGTCCTTTTCAGCTTTTTGTCGCGCTGCAAATGTCAATTCCTGTGGGAAACATTTAATGTTCGGGAGTACAATTTTGAGTGAATTCCCTTGAATTATTGAAGTGGAATTAATCCTTTTAGAGGTGGATGAGTGCCACATTAACGTACTGCACCATTGAAATATGTGCGCAATGCACTGATAAATTCTGTTCAGCTGGTGTTTGCTTCTTTTCTTGCTTTAAATATTCACAATATGGTTGGAACGTTTAATGGCAGTATTCTGCAGTCTTTTTTTTTTAACTGAAATTAATGCTCCATCAATCGTTTGCAATTACTTACTCGGATTAGGCATTGGTTGCAGTGAGTAACATACGATTTCATTTGGAAGCATTTAGAAATCGAAGCAATCAACATAAATTTATGAATAGAAGAACAAATTAAGAAATGG